AGGACGTTCACGAACAATCCAAATATTCCGCCTCGTCAACATACAGATCGAGCTCTCGCCAGTATGGGCGGGGCTAAATGACCGACTTTTGAAAGCTTCTTTCCGATTGGTCAGTCCGCTGCAGAATGACACGTCGCCAGTTCAGGTCACAAAGTACTTTTGTACAAGGAAATACAATGTTTCTAAACATATTAGCGAAGTGTTAGAATGGGGATAGTACGTTGTTTTTCGTGTCTATACTGGCGATTAGAACATGAAATTTGGTTTAAACTCTCGACCTATCGGTCTCGAGTTCAAACCCAAATTTCATGTTCTAATCGCCAGTATAGCCACTCAAAACAACGTACTATCCCCTAAATATAAGGAGAAATGTAACCAGTTAATTATGCCTATTTACTGGTTACATTTTAAGAAACGTTTTTATTTTGCGATGAAGCTACAGGTAACATAATCCTTATTGAAGAAATGTCTCTTTACTTAGGTAATGGGGGGAACCATCAAAAGTAATGGAATTTCCCTCAGTAAGATCTTTCGTAAAAACAATGGGCAAGGGAACAACTGGATAGTTCATATTGAACAGTTGGCAACACTCTAATGAGTTACAATACATCAAACTGGTCTCAAAAACTACCAAGCTAGTCGATCCATGTGTCACTTATTATAAGATAGTCTTTTAATAAATTGCAATATTTTTTTTATATCTATTTCTATAAACAGAAAAAAACCAAGATATTTTTTACAATTATTAAAAACCTCCCACGCTGCACGAGCGTGAATAAACTGCTAACAAACAAGTGTATACGTCATCACATCCATACACGGTCGATCACCTGTATTGACCAATCACGGGAAGTTATAGATCAGCTTTGATTGTTGTAGTTCCGGCGACAATGACGGGTTCTATCGATAAGGCCCGATGTTTCTTGTGAACCTGAGACGACTTGAGATTAATTAGTGGCGTTAGTTCAACTGATATGCGAGTTGTGAACGTGTTTCGTCAATAAATCCGTTAGATGATAGGTGTTTTCCGTGTCGACACCCATTTCCCCCTAGACTTGAGGAAGTCTCGCGGAGTCTCGTAACAAATCCATCATTGCTAGGCCTAAGTTGTTTATTGGTATGATTATTAAGACCAGGAATTGGTCAGGTTTCGTACCTGGCGGATTATTGAACGGTATCAAATAGCGACAGTGATGTATTCAATTATCTAAAGGTATCCATCTTTATAATTATTCTTACATGAAAACCCTTTGTAATTCCACAAAAGCGTATTCTTTGTTGTAGCGCTGTCACAGCTGTGTTACCGAGTGAGGAAGGCAATAAAGTACATGATGTTATTTATTTGTTTCTTTCAGAAAGTATATGAATTTGTATCCAAACATTCTGCTTCAAGAATCACCCGTCTCTCTTGCATGCTTATTTCTTTATATTCATTATTCATTATATTCTTGTTTCAGATTACCATTGAAGATCATTTGAGAACAGTTGTCTGTGACGTCAAGTAGATATTTGTTGCAGCTATTTAACGTATAATAACGTGATCAATTAATTAAATTGTACTATAAGCATTGCATTTAATGCTTCTTGTTTCCTGTAACCAGCTTAAGATTATATCTTTTCTCCAATTAGTTTAGTGATACAAAAAGTTATCATCAGAAAACAAATTAGGAAGTTCATAATTGAAACATATAAACGAAGTGCTTTAATCACGTTTAATAAAAATATGTTTTTGAATTACAGGGAAATAAAATAATAACTCTTGAAAAAGAAATAATAATAGTGTAATCTAGCGATCTGAAAGTATACATGTATACAAAATGAGGCAAGTATATAATGATAGCCTTACACAATTACTGATATAGCGTTGTCAATAATAACATTACATTCTTGTTTTCTGTCATATTGAGATGGGAGAATTTTTAGCTGAAACTACCCAAACCTCAGGAGCTGAGTTGTAACCAGAAGTATTGGGATCAAATCAGTATCTAATAAAAATGTTGAAAAAGATTACGACGACTGAACGCTATCATTTGTCCCTAACACTTTAAGTCCCGTACATTTTGATATAATATGAGTAATATCTATACCAGTTACCATATTTATGTGCATATCTCGAAATTACTTAATTCTATCCTACAGTATGTAGAATTAAGTATGTTGGGGAATCGTAAAGCTAGTTTCCACAGATGATGTGGTTTTAAGCTGGTTCTTCGTAGATATACACAGCAATATGAACTAAACATTTCCTACATTTTTTCTTAACGATTTGTACATTGGTATATAATATACTTTTACACTGCCTTTACTTATTTCTTCATTAATACTCTATCGAAAAGCCGTACTTGTTCCAATCTAGTGAGGTGGGGTTGGTTATCTTATCATTATTCAACTGATGGAACAAAATATTGATTGTGCACTCATAAATTATTTTAACATATTTCCAAAATTACATCAAACCACAGTCTTCCACCTTGCATATGATATAAAAATAAAAGCATGTTTTGTTTTCCATCTATAACCTACCCATGTCTTTTGCTTACCACTTCATTGTATAACAATGACAACTCGCCGTTACGGGGACTGAGGACGTGAAACTTTATTGCAAATACTTAAGCATTTTCTACTTGCAAAAAGACCTAGGTTTGGCCGATAACCAATGGAATCCCACACATACTTTCCGAATTTTTCGAAGGAAGAAAACTAGTAAATCGTGTTTTCGTGTTGCAATCTTCCGATACCTGTTAGTAAAAAGGATACGGATATGTCTTTGTATTGGATTCCTCCGCATCAGGAGAACCTTTATAGGCAACGTTTTATCGCTGACCCAACAAGCCATTATACCAATGACGAAATCGTTAGGAAGATTGAATTCCTGGTTTCAATATTATTGTTGAGTGAGGTGGCAATATTTCCCGCAGACGTTTGTCATTACAATGTGAACAAACGATGTCCCTTGTCCTAGGCGTGCTGCGTTTGTTTTCATACTAGGCTGAATAAAGTATAGAGCTTTTCAGGACTGGTAACAAATCCTTCAATCTTACTATCTACGTACCTCGNTTCACTGTTTCCCTGTGATTATTGTCAATTTTTGTTTTGTCTTTGTGCGACAATAGGTTGTTCACTGTTTCCCTGAGATCATTGACAATTTTTGTTTTGTCTTTGTTTGACAATAGGTTGTTCACTGTTTCCCTGAGATCATTGTCAATTTTTGTATTGTCTTTGTCCGTCAATAGGTTGTTCACTGTTTCACTGAGATCATTGTCAATTTTTGTATTGTCTTTGTCCGTCAATAGGTTGTTCACTGTTTCCGTGTGATTATTGTGAATTTTTGTTTTGTCTTTGTCCGTCAATAGGCTGTTCACTGTTTCAGTGAGATCATTGTCAATTTTTGTACTGTCTTTGTCCGACAATAGGTTGTTCTCTGTTTCCCTGAGATCATTGACAATTTTTGTTTTGTCCTTGTTTGACAATAGGTTGTTCACTGTTTCACTGAGATCATTGTCAATTTTTGTTTTGTTTTTGTCCGACAATGGGCTGTTCACTGTTTCAGTGAGATCATTGTCAATTTTTGTACTGTCTTTGTCCGACAATAGGCTGTTCACTATTTCCCTGAGATCATTGTCAATTTTTGTTTTGTCTTTCTCCGCCAATAGTTTATTAACTGTTTCCCTGAGATCATTGTCAATTTTTGTATTGTCTTTGTCCGACAATAAGTTGTTCACTGTTTCCCTGAGATCATTGTCAATTTTAGTTTTGTCTTTGTCCGACAATAGGTTGTTCACTGTTTCCCTGAGATCATTGTCAATTTTTGTTTTGTCTTTGTCCGTCAATAGGCTGTTCACTGTTTCTCTGAGATTATTGTCAATTTTTGTATTGTCTTTGTCCGACAATAGGTTGTTCACTGTTTCCCTGAGATAATTGTCAATTTTTGTATTGTCTTTGTCCGACAATAGGTTGTTCACTGTTTCCCTGATATTATTGTGAATTTTTGCATTGTCTTTGTCCGTCAATAGGCTGATCACTGTTTCCCTGAGATTATTGTCAATTTTTGTATTGTCTTTGTCCGACAATAAGTTTTTCACTGTTTCCCTGAGATCATTGTCAATTTTACTTTTGTCTTTGTCCGACAATAGGTTGTTCACTGTTTCCCTGATATTATTGTGAATTTTTGCATTGTCTTTGTCCGTCAATAGGCTGATCACTGTTTCCCTGAGATTATTGTCAATTTTTGTATTGTCTTTGTCCGACAATAGGTTGTTAACTGTTTCCCTGAGATCATTGTCAATTTTTGTATTGTCTTTGTCCGTCAATAGGTTGTTCACTGTTTCCCTGAGATTATTGTCAATTTTTGTATTGTCTTTGTCCGACAATAAGTTTTTCACTGTTTCCCTGAGATCATTGTCAATTTTTGTTTTGTCTTTGTCCGTCAATAGGCTGTTCACTGTTTCTCTGAGATTATTGTCAATTTTTGTATTGTCTTTGTCCGACAATAAGTTGTTCACTGTTTCCCTGAGATCATTGTCAATTTTTGCATTGTCTTTGTCCGTCAATAGGCTGTTCACTGTTTCTCTGAGATCATTGTCAATTTTTGTATTGTCTTTGTCCGACAATAGGTTGTTCACTGTTTCCCTGAGATAATTGTCAATTTTTGTATTGTCTTTGTCCGACAATAGGTTGTTCACTGTTTCCCTGTGATTATTGTCAATTTTTGTTTTGTCTTTGTCCGTCAATAGGCTGTTCACTGTTTCTCTGAGATCATTGTCAATTTTTGTATTGTCTTTGTCCGACAATAAGTTTTTCACTGTTTCCCTGAGATCATTGTCAATTTTTGTATTGTCTTTGTCCGTCAATAGGTTATTCACTGTTTCCCTGTGATTATTGTGAATTTTTGTTTTGTCTTTGTCCGACAATAGGTTGTTCACTGTTTCCCTGATATTATTGTCAATTTTTGCATTGTCTTTGTCCGTCAATAGGCTGTTCACTGTTTCCCTGAGATTATTGTCAATTTTTGTTTTGTCTTTGTCCGTCAATAGGCTGTTAACTGTTTCCCTGAGATTATTGTCAATTTTTGTATTGTCTTTGTCCGTCAATAGGCTGTATACGGTTCGGTTGAGATCAACAAGTTTTAAGACAGTTCTTTATCTATACAATTTTACATTCTGATGCAACCAGCATTACAACCATATTTTCAGGCCCGGTCGTCTACATTCGTGAATAAATATTTAATGTCCATTCCCACTGCCATGCTAGTGAATAAAGCAAGTTTAACTTGTTGCGGATCTAAAACCATTTGTATTAGATTATATGTTTTGGTAGTTTTTCTCATGTAGGCTTCGTTAAACGGAAGATCATTCCTGTTATCAGCTAATATCTTTGAATATTAGAACACAAAATACTGCATATGAAAAGAAATATATAGTCGGTAACTCTGATAGCATAAGAAAACGTGATAAACGGACTAAGTCCCAATGAATATATATATGAAATTATAATTGTCTTATTAAAATTGATAATTTGCCGACATTTATTGTTTGTCTCATGACCAATGAGATTTAGGTAGAATGCTTATCTTTCCCCTTTTTATGCTCTTGTAAAAGTTGAGTGGTAAATGATCATGATGTTAATTTTTGTTAGAACCTTGTTCCCATGGTAATTTGAAGCAATGCTATCATCGGTAGTTCATTTGTTAATGGAAGAAATTGGGCACCTTATGTTTCCACAAGAACCACAGGTAAAGAACCTTTATAAAGTATGCACAGGGCGTTCCAATAGAAGTGATGTGCAAAGTCAAATTACGCCAAACGGTGTGTTTTAATCGTAGGTGTATAATCTGACGGCATCCATTTATTGATGTAAATAATTTAAACGGAGGAGAATTATCCGACCATAGACAGGATTACATGGTAGGTATCAAACTGTGTGATTACCCGTCCTCCATTGTGATGTAGTGTAACGACAATTAACGTGATACCACCCGTCCTAAGTTACAATAGAGGGAATTACTTCTGCTCTGTTGGAACACATGATAAACACAGGTCTTGTATAGAACAGACAACTGGTTCATAATGGTGGCATGGCGGTCTCACCTATTTCAGAGGCATGCGCAACGCATATCGACAGTGCCGAACAAAAACTCGGGAAATATTCTACGAGAATTACACAACATGACTTTCCGACATTTTCAAGTTCCATTTCCGGTTAGATAATGACGTGCTTTGTATCAATTTTCTTAATTTAAATGAGAATTAATTGATTAATGGAAAATCAATGATAAAGAGTCTTATATAATTGGCTAGATACATGTATGCAAGAGTCAAGATAGAGTACAACACGTATACACGTGTTTAAAACAAAAGATATACATGTGAGTCCAGAGAAGGTACAACTACACATAGTATTTTCGTTACATAGCATAGAGAAACGATGAAATATTGGGCAGTGTTGACGATTTTATTGGAAACCATAGAAAGCACTCTTTTAAATTAGCATTACATTGTAAATTGATTTTTATTTACCAAACACCGACACTGGAACGAGTTGTTTAAGGGTAACAACCTGACTCCCTTTTTACATTTTTTCTCCCACAACCTGTGTATTACTACAATTAAAATCTGCCACATATAAAATAGTGCCGGTATGTTACATCATTGTTTTGTTGAAAAATTATTTAATTCGGGAATAGCCAGATTTAATTAATTGTCTCATAACCAACGAGTTTTAGTAATATAATACCTCTCTTTCCCCCTCCCTTTGTCCACCTGTCATCCTTTAGCAGTTAAATGATCATGAACATATTTGTTGCAACTATATATCTAGGGCATTATGTTTATTTTAGGTTTATTTTTTTCTTTCGTCATTAAATAATATTTTCTCCCACAGCGACTTTAAGTTTTCTTACTCCTGACTCATTGGATAAATCTGCTAGAAGTTAGTAAACATGTTTGTAACCCAATAGTTTAGTTTAGTGGGTCACACCCTGGACGTTATTTCACTGATCAAACTCCTAGTTATAACGTCAAGTAACACTGTTTTGCAACGTCATCTTCCACTGTGACGTCATAATTCATGGCAGTTGTTCCCAGATAAGAAACAGGAATAATGATTCCACAAGGAAAAAGTATGACTCTCTAGATATAATATCGGAACGTTGTGGAAGAAAAGGGCCCCAAACGCATGATGGTTAATATCCTGATTATCTAACTCTTGTTATGTAATTTTTCAAATTGTAAAAGATACTCGTGATACTTCGTGTCTTTATACAATTAGAAAATTAACTAACTCGGGTTAGATAAACTAGATAACCAATCATCACTCGGTGGGAAACCTCCTTGTAACTGACGCTACCGCACACATAATGGAAAATGTATTTTTTGTATTACACCGATATAAACACTCACCTGTACGTAATGTCGATGTTGGTTTCGCTATTTACCTATAGCACCTTGTTAACTCACCAGTCTCCCCGCCAGCACCACACACTCTCAACTACTGAATAGTTATCATCAACTGGACAGAATCATGGAGAAATATTCTAAAAAAGCAGCAAACTTGCTGATGTTCAACTTAAAAATATCCCGCTTTCCCGTTTGGAATTCCAAGTTTAAAAGCGTGGCTTAGGAAAGTTTGTTTTGTGGAGGATCAATGCGTAGGTCACTTCTCTTTATCGCGAGGCCGTTATGCTAATTGGTTTTCCTGATTCCAAAAAACACAAACAACATTTATTGTTTCTTCATGCGCACACCACGTGCTTCCTTAACCCGCTAGATTGATTGACATTCGATGAAACATTAGGGAATTTTGGTTTGTGAAAAGTATGGAATGGATACACTCCAAAGCACTAACGCCTCTTCCTTCATTTGCAATAAAATACTTGGACGGAGTGTATCCTCACTAATTGGCTGCATTCACTAGTCTATAGCCGCCACTGTCACTCGGCCATTATTTCAGGAACAGGGACCGGCTAGCGGGTATTCACTTTCAACCTAAACTCGCTCTCCTATCATGGGAATGTCATTGGTTGATTAAATGGAAAAGTGGGATCAATCTTGTCATGTGTGTCGGTTCTTACATCAGTATATTTTATCGTCTGGTTTTTATCGGCTAGCTAATTGGCCGGTGCTATCTGGACTGGTGACACCCAGGTTAACTCCGGCTATATCTTACATGTGTTTTATTGAGCATGAGAAGCAATCAATACAAATTAATTAATAGAGACGTATTTATCACGTGTACCAGCTTACAGCATTATGCAGTCCTCTTGGTAAATTTAAAATAATCAATTGACATGGTTCTGTGATACGTAACTTGTTTTTGATATTTATGTGGTATCTTTATAGGTCGCGGGACAGCCTATTACAGATAGAGGTGTAAAGCAGGAAATCAGACCTATTTTTGGTTTTAAACATATTTTATTGTAATTTATATACAATGGGATTTGGGCACAAGTTTTACAACTTATATTAAGCCCTTTCCTTCAATATATTACTACAAAGTATCAAGATGGCATATAACATATATATTTACAATGGCTTTAATTGAGAGAGAGAGAGAGAGAGAGAGAGAGAGAGAGAGAGGTAGAGGTGTGATAGAGAGAGACAAAGAGAGAGAGAGAGACAGAGAGGTGATGAAGAGAGGTCGTGAAATACCGGAAGTGTGGGGACATTTTTTCTGTTTAAAACCCACGTTGTGGGGACCCCCATTCCACTGTGGGGACATTTGCCTGTCCCTACAATTACGGTCCCTTAAATCGCAAGGAAATTGCATAAAATGCATAGAAAAAATATTTTCTTAAAAGTCCCCACTAATTTTTGAATCGATCATTTATCTCACAAGTAGCCACAAATCGTAATTTAGTCTTGTGCATAACTTTGCACTAGGCTCTGTGCTGATTGGCTGAGTAGTTTGTCCCCACAAAGTCTCTCTCCTTCACATGATTGGGTTTTCATATTAGGAAGATTCAAGATATACCTATATTATTTTACTTCAAAAGCAACTAGACGTTAAAATTT